TTCAATTGTAAGAGACTGAAGCGCCTCTAAGAGCCAAGAACATGTGTCCAACCCTAACCATATGTTGAAGCTTTTTTTCCAACATTTTTCAGTAACGCAGATTTTCTTATTGAAAATCGATTCAGTGAAGGTGAAAATCTTACCTTCAATGCAGAATTTCGCCGGTGCCTGAGTTTTGGCTTGAATTATCTCTGGGGGTTCTCGCCTGAGGGTTTCGGAGACTTGCAATTGGGCAAGAGGCGGGAGGGGAATTGCTGTGTGACCGCTTCTACCATCTGCTTCTAGGGTTGTTGAAAATCCTCGAAGGACATCAATGTAAGGGCGGGAAGGAAGAGATCGCCTGTTGGATGGGCCAGGATCTCCGGGAAGGTTCAGCGGCGTCAAAGGGTGTAAATCGACGGTAGAAGGAAACGGAAAATCAGAGAAGCTCTCCCTTCTCTCTAAAACGCACGCCATCTTATATATATATATACATATAATACATATATATATATATATATATACATATACATATATATACATACATATATATATATATATATATATATATATATATATATATGTATATATATATATATATAAATGAAATTTAAATGGTATATATATAACATAAAAAATCAAGTTGTTTAAATATTTGATATTGTATAATAAAAAATAATTTCGTTCCACCCGTGCATGGCACGGGTTAAAATATTAGTAAAATTGAAATAGTGCTCATTGTTCTTTTTTCTTTGATCTATTTAATAATATGATTAAATACATATATTACGAAAACTTATGTATTCCGTAAAATTTTTTAGAGTAAATTCCATAAAAGATCCCGAGTTATAGGTCCTTTTGCATATTTAGTCCCTACATATCAAATATTACTAATTTAGTCTCCAATTATTATATCATTTTTCACGAATGATCCTTTGTTAACGTTTTTGTTAAGAACATGTATAAAATTATATATTCATACTTCTTTCTCTCCTCAATTAAGCTTCCTCTCTCCTCTCGTACTCTTTTCCAAACTCGTCGCTGAGTTTGAAGCTCTAAACCCAAAACTAAAATGATCACTCCTCCCTCAATTATTTATCTTTCTACACGGGTGGAATCTAAAATCAAAACCAATAAGCTTTATGGATGAAATTGCAAAAAAATAAGCATTAAAACTCATCCATGAAGGTTACTGGTTTCGAATTTGGGTTCCACAAGTTCGACAAACAATTTAGAGAAGAGTGATGATTTTAGTTTTGGGTTCAAAGCTTCAAACTCAGCGACAGGTTTGGGAAAAGAGTGCGAGGGGAGGGAGTAAGCTTAATTGAGAAGAGAAAGGATTGTGAATTTACAATTTTATCCACCTTCTCAACGAAAATGTTAACAAAGGACCATTCGTGGAAATTATTCTAATAATTGGGGACCAATTTAGTAATATTTGATATGTAGAGACTAAATATGTAAAACGACCTATAACTGGGGACCTTTTATAGAATTTACTCAAATTTTTAGGTATTAATTATTTATGTTTATTTTTATATAAAATTGAAATGGTGCTCATTCTTCTTTTTCTCTTTGATCTATTTAAGAATATCATAAAATAAATATATTACACAAACTTATGTAATACTACCTCCGTCCCTGAGTATTTGTCCACTTTTGACTTTTTTCAGTCAACTGTTTTTAACCTTTGACCTATAATTAAATAAAATATATAATGTATATTAATTAGATAAAATAATATTTTTTAAATATTTGATGTAATAAATCTAATAAAACTATTTTTGTATCAATATCTAATACTACCTCCGTCCCAAAAAGATTTACACATTTTGACTAAAGTTGAAATTAAGGGAGGGATAATTTTGTGTTGACTTTCCAAAAATACCCTTGATGTGATGGGTAAAAGTAGGATGTGATGTGTAGATTATTAGGAAAAAGGTATGATGTGATAGGTAGGGTTTGAAAAAATAAGGGGTAAAAGTAGTTTTTTAATAGAAATGGGTAGGAGATTGTGGGAGGCAATTTTTTTGAAAGGTGTAAATCTTTTTGGGACGGAGGGAGTATCATTTTAATTTAATTTGAGGTCAAAGTTTACCAATTTTGACCGAAAAAAGTTAAAAGTGGACAAATACTCAGGGACGGAGGGAGTAGTTCTTTTTTCAAACTAATTGCAAGAATTTTAAAATTTACATAGCCTATATCTTAGAACGGTAATATATATGGAGTACAATCATGCTAGGAGTACACCAAAAAGTGTACTCCAAAGAAATGCACCGACATTTTAACGGTTGAAACTGACACAAAATGTTAGTTCACTTAAAATATTTGCATTGACATTTCTTGTTAATGTAAATCATCACATCAACATAAAATATCAGTATATGCCTTTGGGGTACAAGTGTTGGTGTACAAATAGCTTAATCCATACGAAGTACCATATTGCAAGATTTTTCACAAGAGTCTTTTTGTGGTGCACCTTGGGTGCATACCATTTTTGTGGACCTTCTCACATAAAAAAAATCTTTTTTTAAATTTTTTAGTAAAACATATGCTTATTTAAGTAACAAGAAAATGTTTATTTTGCTTATATGTAGGTCCATTCTAGAGGTACTTCCACACTATAGCTGAAACCATCATGATTGTAGGGGTATCCAGCAAGGTGAACACATACAAGTACACAGAAGTAGCAGCAACATACACCACTCAATTGGTAGTAGCAGCATCAACAAATGGTAGCTCTTCACCAGTTCCATGAGAGCTCATTCCATAGTCAAGACAAGTAGTAATTCCCATTCCAAAGGTACCCATCACTCAAACCATCACCATCACTGAAACCATCTAACAGAGGCATTAGTAGGGTGTTACTAGATGATAGAAGGATTCTGAATTGTCCCACCACAGACTCAATGTTCCATTCAGTAAGCTAATCCGAATTGTGAGAAGCCATTCCTTGGGTCATGTGAGCCAGTCTTAAATCCTCAACATTTGTCCCATGTAGTTGGTCATCCAAAGTTATCCAAATATGGTAATCAACAGCTCACCAAAGTAACCAAGAAAACAAAAAGTAACTTAGGTGCCATTCCACACCAATATGTGGATGGTTTCCAAGTCCACATCAACCAAGGACCCACACCATTCTATACTCATCCAATCAAGAGCTTATAGGGTAAGTATAGTTTAGTGTGTTTTTAAGGTTACCCCTCAAAGGCCCAAGGTATTCTCTAAGGATCAGTCAAGGCATTCTCAGAGCTTACCTTGTTCCAAGCAAGTCACCCAATGGAACAAACTCTTCAATGAAAACTTAAGAAGGTTTACCAGTCAGGGTTTGTTTACAACCCCTATCCAGGCCCAAGGTATTCTCTAAGGATCCATTAAGGCATTCCTAGAGCTTACCTTGTTCCAAACACCCAAACCACCAATTCCACCAATGAAACAAATGTTTCTGTGGTAACCCAAGTTGGTTTACCATAGAGAGATTTGTTTTCAACCCCTATCCTTGCCCAAAGTATTCTCTAAAGATCCATCATGGCATTGTTTGAGTTTACCTAGTTTCAAACGCCCCAAACCTGCCAATTCACTAATGCAAAAGAACCTCCTGTGACCCAAGAAGGTTTACCCCAGAAGGCTTGTATCCACCCCCTATCCAGGAAATCTTTCCCCTCTGTACGGAGGTTGGCTTGGTACCTGTAAAAATGTGTGAAAGACTGAATTGGTTTTCATTGAGTATTCACAACGTATAATTACAAGTAGGTTTGGGGCTGCATTGGGCCAAGCCCGATTACATACAAGGAAAGATACATATATGGAAATAATATACAAATATGTAAATATAACTATATATGCTAACACTCCCCCTCAAGTTTGAGCATGGAGATCACAAATGCCCAACTTGGATAGCAGGAAAGAAAAGAGAGGTCTGTTCAGAGCTTTGGTGAACAGATCGGCTAATTGCATGCGAGTAGGAACATAAGCTGTGGTGATCTCTTGGCACTGAACGCACTCACGGACGATATGGCAATCAATGTCAATATGCTTCATGCGCTCATGAAAAACAGGATTAGCAGCAATAAACAAAGCAGATTTATTATCACAAAATAAGTGGGGCGTCGTTGGTGGAGTAACACCAAGCGCACCAAGGAGGCCCCGAATCCATCGGACCTCTGCGCAAGCGTTAGACATAGCACGATATTCAGCTTCGGCGGAGTAGCGCGACATGGTAGTTTGTTTCTTTGTTTTCCAGGAAACTGGAGAACCACCCAAGTGAATAAAATAACCACTAACAGACCTGCGAGTAAGAGGACAAGATGCCTAGTCGGAGTCATAATAAGCAGATACTTGAAGAGAATTGTCACTTCGTAGAAGAATTCCCTATCCTGGATGACCCTTCAAATAGCGAAGGACACGCTTGGCAGCATCCATATGATCAAGACGTGGGGCATGCATAAACTAAGATAGGACATGAACTGAATAAGATAGATCTAGCCTAGTGATAGTAAGGTAGATCAGGCGACCCACACGGCGTCGATATTGACCCGAATCCCGTAGCTCGGCGCTAGTTGAGCGAGCCAGACCGTGGTTCGGTGTGATGGGGGTGTCCGCCGGCTTACAACACACTAAACCGGCCTCATGAAGGATATCTAACGCATATTTGCGTTGGCACAGAACAATCCCCGCGGCTGACCGAGCACACTCAATGCCCAAGAAATATGATAAGGGCCCAAATCCTTGAGACGAAAACACCTGTGTAAATAGGATTTGAAAGAGGCACACAAGGTGGAGTTATTACCTGCAACCAAAATGTCATCAACGTAAACCAGGACAATCATAATATCAGAACCGTAGCGGTGAATAAACAGAGTATGATCAGCATGGGCTTGACTAAACCCGTATCATCTGAGGGCACAAGTAAGTTTAGCAAACCAATTGCGAGGTGATTGTCGTAACCCGTACAAAGACTTACGCAGGCGAAAAACCTTTCCTGGATGAAGGTGTGCATAACCGGGCGGCAAACACATGTACACTTCCTCAATCAAATCACCATGGAGGAAAGCGTTGTTGACATCAAGCTGGTGCACTTGCCAACCCTTGGTCGCGGCAACGGAGAGCAAGACCCGAACAGACCCCATCCATTTTTGCTACCAGGGAAAAGGTTTCTGTGTAATCAACCCCCAATGTCTGATGACTGCCAAGCACAACTAGGCGTGCTTTGTCCCGTTCCTTAGAGCCGTCAGAATTAAATTTGGTTTTGAAAACCCATTAACACCCCAAAGCTGTCCGGTCAGATGGCAGCTCAGTGATATCCTAAGTGTGGTTATTCTCTAGGGCCTGAAGTTCCGCTTGCATAGCTGCCCGCCAGGTGGCATGAGGAGCAGCATCAGAATAATTTTTAGGAACAAAGTGCGGATTGATAGCCCCAAGAAAACCACGGTACCTGTCATGCAATTTATTCTAACAAACAAAGTTGGAAATATGATAACACGTACCTGAAGATGAAGACCGTGGAGGAGATGAACACAACGGGACATGAGATTGAACAGAATTGACGATATAATCACTAAGGTGGGAAGGCTGACGACGCTGCCGTTGGGGACAAAGAAGGGGAACAGCGGCTGTATGGGAGGGAGAGGGGTTGGCGGAGGGCTAGTCGCCCTCTGTCTCCGGTGCGGCGGTTTGTTCGACCGGAGTGAGTGCCGCCAGATGGACGGTCGGCGACACCAGAGGGGGATCGGGCAAGGGTATTTTGGGAAAATCGGCCATTTGAGTGGGGGTGGTAGGTTCGGGCGGCGTGTGATGAGTGGCAAACAGGAATTGGCTCTCGCCAAAAGCTATGTCCCGAGTGTTAAAAAAATGGTGAGTGTCAAGGTCATACACACGAAAACCTTTAGTGCCGGAGGGGTACCCAACAAACATACACTTGGTGCTGCGAGGAAAAAAATTGTTAGAGGTTTTAAGGAGAACAAAACACAAACACCCAAAAATTTTGAAATGACTAAGATCAGGTGCTTTGTTGTTGAGGACCTCAAAAGGGGACTTTCCACCAAGGAGTTTGTTGGGAGTACGATTGATTAGATACACAACTGTATGAACACATTCCCCCCAAAATTCAATTGGAAAATGAGCTTGAAACATGAGTGATTGGGCGACGTTTAAAATGTGTCTATGCTTACGTTCCACCCAACCATTTTGTTGGGGGGTACCAACGCAAGAAGTTTGAACAAGAACACCCAAGGACGCATAGTACGTCCAAAGATCCTGATTGACAAATTCAGTCCCATTATCAAAACGTACAATTTTGATTGTTTTATGGAATTGGGTCTGAATCATGGCAAAAAAATGTTTCAAGCAACTAGGCACTTCAGATTTATCAATAATCAGATAAGCCCAAACTGCTCGAGAATGATCATCCACAATAGTGAGAAAGTAATGAGCACCAGTAGCTAAACACGGGGTATAGGGTCCTCATAAATCACAATGAATTAAATAAAAAACACTAGTAGCTCCATTGGAACTGACTGGAAAAGAACTACGAACTTGTTTAGATTGAAAACAAATTTCACAAGACTGCAAAAGTTTAATTTTAGAACTACTAGTAGAAGGAATAATAGACGACAAAACTTGAGTGGACGGATGACCCAAGCGTTTGTGAAGAAGAATGGGGTCCACTTGGGTTGCAGGTGCGGTAGAGGAAGGACGAAACAGGAAGATTCCGTTGCATGCATCATCCCGTCCAATCTCCATCTTCGTTGCACAATTCTGTATGACACAACAACTGTTGGTTAAAAATTACAAAATAGGGTGTATCCTGAATAAGGCAACCAACAGAAATAAGATTGCATTGTATGTGGGGAAAGAGCAAAACGTCCCGAAGGACCACCTCGGTCGAGCGTCGCACATGGCCACATTGAGTGGCGGTAGTTCGCGTGCCATTGGGAAAAGTGATGATGCAAGGGCCCA